GTGGGATCTACTGTACAGGTCAAGAGCGGCAGCCTGAGCGAGCAGAGGAAAACCTTTCATGAAGAACGTCCATGTGACTGCACACACAGATTACAAACAACCAGGTTTAAAAAGAGAAGAAGAGCTCTGTGACCTCACACAGCTGCATTTCTACCATCACGGCGTGCACAGACACAGTCTCACACGCTCACAGTGAAACATGCAGAAGAGCAACGCCAGGCTGTAAAAATGTGAGTACTCTCACACGTCGAGCAGCAAATCGAGCCGCTACATCCGAGTGGCGCCCTGCAGGACAGAAACTACAGCTGACGGCGTGAGGCTGGCCCCAACAGCTCATTTCCTGGAGACACGTTTGAAGCTCAGTGCTCAGCTAAACCAAAAGCTGTCACTTTCATTTTATCAGTCTAAAGGTTCATGTTACTGTCTGTGTTTAACTGCTGCAGAGTTCAGTGCACTTTTATTTATACAGCACCAGGTCACAACAAAGCTTCACGTTGTAAGGTTCAACACACACGACAAAGAAAAAAAGAGAACACCCAACAATCATATGACCCACTATGATCAAGCACTTTGGTGACGGTGGGAAGGAAAAACTCCCTTTGAACAGGAAGAAACCTCCAGCAGATCCAGGCTCAGGGAGGGGCTGGGCCATCTGCCACGACTCAGGGGACCAAGCCTTAAAACTAACTTTATATAATGAGGTCTTTAAAAACAACATGAATGTGCGACTGATAAAACCACGGCTGACCTCTGTGCTGTGGATGAAGTCTGTGGGTTCTGTGTACCTGTCCTGTTGCTCAGAGCGAAGTGGGCGCTCTTGTCTTCAATGCCACAGACGTTCCTGACGGAGGAGAAGCAGGTGTAGTCGGCGTAGTCCTGCGGCCGCAGATTCTTCAGCTTCAGGATCTTTGTCTCTCCCTGAAACACAAACGTAATAACTGGACCAGTTTCAGGTCTGACAGGTGTTAGGGCCACGTGTCTAACACCTGCTGTCACACAGGACCAGCTCCGAGCATCAAAAACATTTCTCCACTAATGCAGCCGTGGGGTTCCCTCTCTGATTCTCTTTTCA